TTTGTTAAAACAGGTGGAAAAAAAAATGGACTTTAAAGGGTTAATATCATTACAAATTTTATAACATATGTTGGACATTATGTTATAAACGAAGATCTTCAAGTATTTGTCATGTAAAATTACTGTATATATGAGGCATGTCCAACGCGTCGATCGCGGGACGATTTTTGGTCGATCTCATAGACCTATAAGGAAATTATACGTGAAAAGCATGTAAATTCACTTGTAATATAGTAATATGATTATATGCAGATTTTGAAGGAAAAATACGTATTAAACTGGTCTGTACTTTCAGTGTATGTTGCTTTTACAACAAACATCATGTGCCGTGTTATTTTTACCAATATTTTTGCTTAAAGCGAGGTACGACGATAGGAGGGGGTGGTAGATCACTGGCAGTTTTGACACTAAAATGTCGATCACAACCTGTTTGAAGTTGGATATGCCTGGTATATATCAATGACGAATTTTAAGTACACTACCATATTTATTTGAAATGTTGTATGAAATTATTGGATTTAACAACCTAGCGAACAGATCCCTCTCGTCAAAAGTAATTAGAATGATCAAGCCAAGGAGGATAGGATAAGCAGGCCGTGTACCACGTTTGAGGGAGAAATGGAATGCCTATAAGGTTTTGGTGGAAAAGTCCGAAGGAAAGATACCATTAGAAAGACCTAAACATAGGTGGGATGATAATATTAAAATAGTTCTTAGAGAAATAGGATGGGGAGATATGGACTGGATCTGGCACAGGATAGCGACCGGCGGAGGGCTTTTGTGATCACGGTAAAGAACCTACGGGTTCCATAGAATATGGACAAAGACCAAAAACCCAGTAATTCCGAGTGTTATAGACCATCGTATAGAGAGTGCACGAAAGCAACACGAAATGGAGAAGTCATGCTAGTCATTATGCTACATGTTTCATCTCCGAAACTACTGAAAGGATTTCATTTTAATTTTGTGTAAAGGGGTCTGTCTATAGGCCTACAAAATTTGCTGGCTAATATGAACTCCAATTTACATGAAGCTGTATCGATGCTATATATAGTGAGACTCTGAGAGCGTCGTTAAACAAACCATAAATAAATACATAATATACAAATAAGTTACTCTAAAATTGTAATTTCTCAAAAATTGCTCATCGTAAAATAAATGGCGACATTGATTATATAAAACACAGGTCTTGTTGGGGTCCACAACTGTCATTTGAAATGTTTTTATAATTACCATGAAAACAAATAATAATAATAATAATAATAATAATAATAATAATAAACAAAGAAAAAGTACCTGTAAGAAAAATACACATATGACTGTAGGGCTTACAGCATTGTATCTCTAATAAATAAACACAAAGACCAATGGAGTACACACACAATTTCAGCAGTACGCATGCAACTGCACTCAAGTATGTTGTATTAGCACACAATTTTAATTCCTTCGCCGTGTGTTGAAGTTACTACAGAATCGCTCAGGCATATACGTTGCACGATTATACCAGCAGACTACCACGTTAACGCTGAAATTCACACGCCCAGAAACATAGATCCACACTCCTAACAAAAATAACTTTAACAAAGGATTGAACTGTAATGGTTAAAACACTTACGTAATAGGAGAGCTAGGTACAGAGAAGACAGCCCACTGTTTTCACCACCAATTCTCTAACTCTACCAGTGCTTCTCCCCTTTATGTCAAACCATCCCTTCACAGAAACATTCAGTTCAGTACAGCAGTATATCCTCCGCTCCCCCCTGCTCGGCAATGTTGCTACAGGCCATGCGCACCAGACAGCCTCTTAAAGGGGATGGCTCACAACAGTGACAGAACAGAAATGGGATCTGAAGCCATTATTCTACAAAGTAGGTGTGACGACTCAAATGGCAAGGATGCAACGTAGTTTCATTACAGTGACGTGAAACTTGTAGAAACATTTAAGCGGGAAGCTTCATTGCTTGTGCTGTTCAGGTAGGACGCTTGTTCAAAAGTAAATACAAAATTTTGATTAGAACCCCGCATAGGAAGGGCTCATTTCCGAGCTGAAACGTTCAACAGTAACACGAATTTTACCTCTGACTGCCTTGCTACTGAGCCTTATGCACATACCGTCCTCAACATTTATTCTAGAACAATGATTTTTACTGATCATGAATAGCATTTAGATAGTTTCCGTGATTATAAATTTCTTCTAAACACTTCGGTTCTAAGTCTCATATTTAAGACTAAAAATAACAGCGGTTGAGAATCAGGTGCCAGAACACGACACTATTCTTCGCAAGAAAGTTAATCAGCAGATTAGCCCTTCCAAGCCTTATATGTCTCATCATCATCATCATCATCATCATCATCATCATCATCATCATCATCATCACTGGCACGACAGCCCTTTGTGAGCCCTGGCCTTCCTCAGGATTGCTCGCCATTCTTCTCCATTCGATGCTACATTCCTCCAGTTCTTTACACCCAAAATTCTTATGTCCTGCCACACACATTCTTCCCATCTTAATCTTGGTCTTCCCAGTCTCCTATTTCCTTCTGGTTTGGTGTTAAGCATTTTCTTGATGGTTCTATTCTCGCTGGCACGTATTATGTGTCCAGCCCATTCAAGCCTTTTCACCTTTATAAATCCAATAATGCCTGGTTCATTAAATAGTTTGTATAGCTCATGGTTATGCCTCTTCCTCCATATTCCATTTTCTTCCACTGGTCCAAAGATATATCAAATATGTATTATCAATACCTAACAGAAATACACTGCTTACCCATTACAGAGATCAGTCGGCTAATGCTATTTAGGTAATTAGGAAAACATTCGCTCTTTATTCTGCGAGTCATACGAGACCGGCAATCGTGCAGAGCAGGGATAGCTCAGGTTGGATAGCCGGGGTTCGATTCCCGGCAGTGGCAAGATTTTTCACTTCTCCATTATCGTCCAGACAGGCTCTCGAACTCACTCAGCCTCCTAGCTGATGGATACCAGGGGAAGCTTCCACGGAGGTAAAGTGGCTGGGGCGTGAAGCTGACCACTCACTTCCATCTGGTGCCGGGGTCACTCCCCCATATGTGTTCATGAAGTCGTGCTTAATTAGGCACAGAGAGAACTTTACGTTTTACCTTTACATATACAATAGTAACCATTTGCTCGAAGGAGTTAGTCACCGGGTTCATGCCACAGCTAATCAGTCGCCTGTTGGGTGAAATGCCCAAGCATGATCGCATGCTACAGCACTACACGAGTAAAGTTTTATCCTGCGCGTGATAGAAATTCCAAGCATTAATGCCTTTGGTCTTGATGTCAGTGAAAACTTGATCTGGTAGAAGTTGTCTCCCGTCGGATGAAGTCACATTGACCGTAACGTCATGCTGACACCGCAGTTTCAAACTTCACACGTTCATGTATATGTATAAGCGAGGCTGTATTGGTGACTTGATTTATTGACCATTTCCACCCGACTTGTAACTACAAGCAATTACTCGCATAGCGCCATCGCTATTATCCGCACTTCACAAATCACTAGAGCACACGTCAAGTCTTCTCAGTCTACTACAGTCTCCACAAGTCGTTTCCTGGTAACGGCTTCTAACAGTGGTGTTTCTTCAGCATTCGTGCTCATGTCATTGCAGGCTAGCTAATATTCCACAACTCTGAACTATTCGGAGTGAGAGTCAGGGTTACTTTACGATTGGCGGTTTACCGCCCATCACTTCGTCTTGGCACAAAGCCCCTTGAGGTTCACGACCACAGATTCTTTTCAACTGAACCCTTGCGGTCATAATCCTTATATAACATCCTCCCTGCCGAGAGGATTGGTCTGTCGTTTACAATTACTGCTGGTCCTCGCCAGCAGTTATTCTCGGGTCCGAGTTCCGCGGGACTCATGACCGTATTTTACCGCCCCAGATTCGAGATTTCACAAACATTGAGGGCCAGATCCCCTTATTTATATCCCCTAGGAACAAGGGGGCCCAGTTATACTCCCACACACTGGGTTCCATTTTCGTCGCCTTCAGTTGTCCTGCTTGTAACAGATCGGCACGGACCGCGTAGAAGACACCGTTTCCAACAGTTCCTCTATTGTTGAGTGTGGATTCATTGCCGTGGGAACATGTTTGTTTCGCGGTCGTTACCTAGTAAAGGGTCCACACTCTACAATATAATGTTGGTTGATTTACTGGGCGCCACCTGAATTGCTTCAGGTATTGCGATAAGTGTGATCCACACAAGTTTAATATTGTGCGTTATTTATTATATTAAATTGCACCGTGGTCGGCTTGCTACGTATGGAGCGGGCGCCAAAAACTCCCGANTCTTTATGTCTAATATGTGAAATTTATAATATTGATGGTTATTGTAATAATGATAACTAATCTTGCGATCGGGTATCACTTACCCCCGCCAAATCAAACCCCTCACGTGTGGTTATTATTACGTTACAGAGTGTCGCCTTTCAAGTCTTGTCCAGACTAATGCTTTCCCATTAGGGAGAGGGCACACCAAGGAAACTGGCAATCGCAACGCAACCGCAATTTCTGTGGATTGTTATCAGCCTGAGTTGGGCAGATGTTACTGTACGGAGCAACACAAATTGAGGAAACGGCAACGCAACTCGAGGAACGACTGATAAACTCAATTTCCAGGTAACGAAGCATGCCAGTCTTCTCACAATTGCTTTGCCGCGTGGCTTCCTAGTGTCTACTGTTCTGTAACGCGCGTCATTTGTTTTAAGGGTGATGGCACACCAAGGAAACTGGCAACCGGAGGGCAACCGCAATTTCCGATAAATTTCGCCGATTTCCAGCAGGCAACTGGTTTCCAAATTAGCAGGCGTACTCTTAGGAAACTTATGTTTGATAAGTTGCTCACATCATCTTAAGTGGGTATGTTCGTCCGACGTAATGCATGATTGTATTTTTTAATTTCGTGTTCTTACATTTGCAATGGAAGATATATATTGAATCTGTCATAATATGGCGGTAGTTGAGATCGGTTGAAGCGACGCGAGAAGAGAGGGCGACGTGAGAAGAGAGGGCGACGTGAGAAGAGAGAGCGACGCGAGAAGAGAGGGCGACGTGAGAAGAGAGGGCGACGTGAGAAGAGAGAGCGACGCGAGAAGAGAGGGCGACGTGAGAAGAGAGGGCGACGTGAAAAGAGAGAGCGACGCGAGAAGAGAGGGCGACGTGAGAAGAGAGGGCGACGTGAAAAGAGAGAGCGACGCGAGAAGAGAGGGCGACGTGAGAAGAGAGGGCGACGTGAAAAGAGAGAGCGACGCGAGAAGAGAGGGCGACGTGAGAAGAGAGGGCGACGTGAAAAGAGAGAGCGACGCGAGAAGAGAGGGCGACGTGAGAAGAGAGGGCGACGTGAAAAGAGAGAGCGACGCGAGAAGAGAGGGCGACGTGAGAAGAGAGGGCGACGTGAAAAGAGAGAGCGACGCGAGAAGAGAGGGCGACGTGAGAAGAGAGGGCGACGTGAAAAGAGAGAGCGACGCGAGAAGAGAGGGCGACGTGAGAAGAGAGGGCGACGTGAAAAGAGAGAGCGACGCGAGAAGAGAGGGCGACGTGAGAAGAGAGGGCGACGTGAAAAGAGAGAGCGACGCGAGAAGAGAGGGCGACGTGAGAAGAGAGGGCGACGTGAAAAGAGAGAGCGACGCGAGAAGAGAGAGCGACGTGAGAAGAGAGGGCGACGTGAGAAGAGAGGGCGACGTGAGAAGAGAGGGCGACGACCATAAAGAAAACACCAGGATGTTAATTCATTTGTTTTAATGAAGGTCGATTTATTTTAATCAGGAAATATCACGTTCACACACGATACGAAATGTTAACATACAGTACAACTATTTTAGCAAGATAGAGGACACCTGATGATGACAGTATACGGCCGAAACATGTAGTGTGGGAGAAGGGTGACTATACAATAAGTTTCATTTAAGACGGAAATATATGTGCAATGAATGATATAGTAATGCAACAGGATGTTTAAATACAATATTATGGAAAGATAACATTGGGTGCATCCGTTTAAACTGAAGCGCTTATATTGTTTCGAGAGAACTTAACCTGGATCCAAACTCCGACATCTCATGAGAAATTCTTTCCAAAGCCAAATCTATTTTGTCCTGCCTAGCATAGTCTGTGCGGCGTATGTCATATATACCAGGCTCTTACTCAATTAACTGCACAAAAACAAAATTAGCAGCTTCGTCAAACTTTCGTGCCATCTTAAGAAACAAATGAATCGCTGTAGCGCGTTAGAGAACAGCTGACACTAGGAAACCAAGCGGCAACGCAATTGTGAGAAGACTGGCATGCTCCATTGCCTAGAAGTTGAGTTTCTCAGTCGTTCCGCGAGTTGCGTTGCCGTTTCCTCAATTTGCTCTGCTCCATTCAGTAACATGTGTTCAACTCAGGCTGATAACGATTCTCGGAAATTGCGGTTGCGTTGCGGTTGCCAGTTTCCTCGGTGCGCCCTCGCCTATACAATCGAAACGCGTTCAGGCGTGCAACCCACAACTTGGTGCCCCAGATATCCGAAATTTGTGTACGTGTGTAAAACATGCACATTTCTAGATTCCAATGGGAGCCGTAATGAGGCAACGTTCACAGCATTAAGAAGAGTTCTAGCAGCTGAGATGTAATGCTGTGTAGTTCGGTGAAGCTAGTTTCGTGTCGAGGGCATATGCTTCCATCTTCTGGGTAAAGCAAGCAAGAAAACAGAATGAAGTAGGCACCAAATCGAGATTAATCCTTGTTTCTTACTTGGTCTACTCTTCAACGCTGAAGGCTGAGGCGAAATGTTACTCTGAAACGTCGGTTGACTTCACCTAACTACAAGGCGTTATATCCTAGAATGCAGAACTTTCCATAAACAGCACTTCGAGAACCACAAATCCAGCAGTAACACACTCCATCGCTGATTTACATAACCCGCGCCTTGTACGAAGTTTTCGGCACATAAATTGCATGTTAAAGTACGAGAAGTTTAAATTAATTATCCAGTTAAGAATTTTATTCAGTCTGCGTCTTGTGGAATGACATACATATTGGCTTTATGGTAGGTTACGTATCTGGACGTTATTTACTAACGAATTACCGTCGGTTAGACCGCTCAACACAAACTTTTTCCATGTGGCCGCAGAGAATGACGTCTGCTTCAGGGTGTGCCGACTGCAGACAATTTGTATGACATCACGTGAATGTGGTTTGACGTATGTACCCATTTTGCTTACGTAGTCTTGATGTCCATACAGAATTTTAAGTCATGCTTCTCAGCTGGTAAGCAATGTGATGTGTTGACCTCTCTGCGCTTCTACTGTGAGGACTATGAAATCATTTTGCACGCGTAAGCTGTTGGAGTTTACCTGTATTGGTAAAGAAACGTATGTGATGTTATTGGATTCAGCTGACTCGGGGTTCGGTGGTAGGTTTCTTGACCAGCTGAGTGCATATCAGCTTCTCAATGAGTAACCTACTCCGTGGAGTTTATCAAGTGAGATCGCTCAAACGGTAAAGCTTGTGACTCGTACCCTGGAGGTGCTCGGTTCGAATCTCGACCGGAACACGGATTATTGTAAAGTTGTTCATGGTTTTCTTCAGTCACACGAGATAAATTCCGGGATAGTATATCAATTAGCAAACCGTTTCCTTCCATATTCCTTCCAATTTATTATTCGCCAGTCATCCTAGCATTGGACAGTAAATACAACCCGAGACACTGTCAGCGCCGTAAGATGAACCACAAATTAACGAATGAATCTATGGGGTTACCTTCTTTACTTCTTGGGCTGTTTAACGACTCTGTTTCCGTTGCATTAGTTATATAGTTCCGATTGAGATAGAAAGATAATTATCAGTGATGAGTAAGTACGAATTTGGAAGTGGAGTATCATGGTCGATTGGAAGATTATTCTGGAATTAGCCTGAAGAATCCGAAGAAGAACATAATTCTGGATATCCGGTTCTCAGACTGAGATCCGAACAGAGTACCTTGCTAATGCAATTCAGGTGAAGACGCTTACCGAATATGCCAGCCTGACCTACGAGTATGAGAGGAAAAAGTGTTTCAGAAAGTCAGAGGATCATGTTGGATACGAGGCTGTCACAGCGGTGACTACGGAGACAACACCGTGTTTGTCAGCATTTCAGAGGAGCATGCTTCCTGATCTTCAGGGTCGAAGAATAAGCCAGCAAGTAGCGCGCGGCAAGCCAAAGTGACCGGTTTGCAAGAATGGGAAAACTGAACTCTAGTTCTGTTTTCGTTCGCTTCACTATGTTAGTGAAACCAAGCATGTTGTGACTTCCAGTTGTAAAGTTCTCTTCTTCCAGGCACGCGGATAGTCTGTTATGGTACAACAGCATTCTCAAGTTACCAGCATTCAAGTGGAAGAAACTGCACTGCCGCGGAGTACCAGGAATCTCCTGGGGGGTAAAGGGCGGCCTGCGCATAAGGCTGACAACATCACCGTTATCTGTGAGTCGATTGTCTAGAAAATATGGGAGCCTCGACGTCTCACAAGCCTATGGGCCTCCACGGCCTGTTGCAGAGACAGGTTTTTTTCTTTTACTGCTATAGTTAGTGCCACGCGTTGTTGTGGAGCACGCGAAGCTCTAAGCTTGCTGTGGTGACGTTCAGAGCTACTCCCCGAGCGGAAAACATTGCCTACGGAGACCAACTAACAAGCAACACAACGTACCACAAACCTGACCACACTCCAAGACGCTACATTCCAAACTGGTAGTACCTACGCTGACGTAAGCTGATAAGACTGCCTCCCCCCCCAGCTTCGCGAGTGACGGTATGACCCCTCTACCACGGCTAGAATTCCGACGAACTAACAGTATACAAGTCCTTAAGGACCTTCCAGTTTTACTTTTGCGACAAATTTGTGCAAAGAAATAGATAATTTCCACCTGTGCAATTTCATTCAAATTCGTACTCTGACAGATCCTCCACTCATGTCATTTTTAAGGAAAATTTGTGTATATAAGTGCTGTGAAGATACGCTGGACAGAAGTCGACTCGATTGGTACCTCGGTAAACTGAAATTACCACACCTCCCCCCCAAGAAACCCTCCAAAAATTACAAATTGAGTCTATTTATTATATTTCATTGCAGTAAAATTGAATTATTGTTAATACCTCTGTCGGTGATTAAAGATGTAGGCCTTTTATTGTTTGCCCCGAGCCAGGCAGATAGTCCAAAGTCCCCGAGTTCCTGCCTTTGTTCATACATAAATGCACCTGTAAGTCCTTCGAACAAATCACTTTACTAAAAGAATCAAACTTTTATTTAAAATTCGGTAATCCGAAAGATTTTATAGTCAGAACACGCCAGTGTTTAAATTACTTCGGATTATCGAGGTTGCTGTGTAGTGTGCAAGAGATAAATTATTTTGTAGGCCGTAGACGAAGCAACCGATGTAAATGAAAGGAAGCTTGCAAATATTATTGCGGTATTGAAAAATAACTGAACACTATCAGAAACATTAAAAATAAACCGACGACATTCAACATAAACTAAGCAAAAGCAGTGGCTCGGAAGCTGATGCAGGAAAACAAAAACTGCCTCATTTTTCAGCATCTTATAGCATTTTGAAAGATCATTTTTACATCATTTTTAAATATCAAATTGTGGATTTAGGATCACCTAATTATTAAATTATGTTTAACCTATTGTTATATACACGACTTTTATTCCGATTTTCATTCTTATTTTATTGTATTTTTTGTTAATTTTAACCAAAATCTAGTCTAAGTTTTGTCTAATTTGTGAATTGAATAGAAACTAACTTGTACGAACCGTTTGTTAAAAATGGGAATGTTAGCGTTGTAGTTCGGTAATAGCATGTGAAACACTTGAAGCACCTGAAGATGACACATTTGAGGTCGAAACATGTAGTGGCTGCTGTGTAAATAAATAAAAAATATATAAATAACAAATTATTGTTGCGTTGACGGTAAAAATGATATGTGTTCGAGAATAAAGGGGTTTCAGTCATGTGAAACATTTCATGTGTGTTAGAAGCGGAAGACTCAGTTGATTACGAAGACCTGAAAGACTTGGGTGTCAGTGACATAGTGTGTTATGAGCAGGGCCTGGATTTTGATGACATGTCATCTTTTTTTTTTTTTGCTTGTATCCTATGCGATGCTCTTAAATATATAAATCTCGTATATGAGCTGATGGTTACAGAAATGTAAATTTTATAGGTAATTTTTTTGTTATTTTTTGACGTTTTTAGGTTTAAGATTATTTTTCTCATTTTGGGGGTATTTTTTTTTGTAAATTTTTGGACTTTTAAGGGTATTTCTTGTCAATTTTGGCCATTTTAGGGAATTTTTCTTCATATGTTTTCTGAAATGTGAATAACATGGAAGCGAAGTGTTCTTTCTTTTCTCTTTTAGGTAATTTTTCTGGATTTTTCGGTCATTTTTTGAATATTTTCAGGTCATCAGAATCCGGACCCTGCATGTTACATTTTTGGGTCATATTTTAGGTCATTTTTCTGGATTTTTTCGGTCATTTTTTAAATATTTTCAGGTCATCAAAATCCGGGCCCTGCTTATGAGCCCTTGCACTTATGATCATGCAGGGTTTGAGGCCAGAATCAATAAACTCGAGAGTACTATTGAAATGCAATGTGATGTGGAACATACATTTTCTCAGAACGAATCATCCTTCCGTGATAAGGGACACAACTGAGAGATGACTTTGGTGGTTCACTAAAACAGTGTTTCATTTTCTGTAATCACGGGTAATTTAAAAAATCGACTTCTTAGAGTTAATTTTTTCTTTTAAAGGTTTGTAAAATATAAATACGAGTATTTTAAATTGTTAGCACCTGAAAGTCCGTTCCCAAATAATAAGGCTAAGCAGGGCAGTGTTTATCGTAATGTTACTCTGTCGTTTCCTTTGAAACCAAATCAACTAATTTCAGTTATGATGAGTTTTATCTTCATGGATAAACTCGTTATCATCATTATAAGAACGTCAATCCCCACAGAACGTCTGTTAATTATGAAGAGCACCATTAGATGGCAGCAGTACACGGTATTGTTTCGGTCGGCAAGTCTATAAGCAGTACAGTGTCCTTTTTTCCTTACGTCATTCCATGTAAACCAAACACAAACCTGGTCATAGTTATTTGGGACTTGAGGTTATGGTGGGTATGCCGTATAGTCTGATAGAAAATTTACAGACGTTACTGCGGACCATTCTACCTCCGTCATCAAGGTTGAAGATTAAGCGGAATGCTCAAGCAGCAAGCAGCCGGCTTGCTCGTAATTACCAATCTCCCTCAAGTTCCTAACAAGTAAGAAAGAATCACTGGAGAGGTATCCATGGTAACTAGCCACAGGTGGAATTACGTATAAACGTTTCCCGTTAAACGGCAGTTTTTCAGTCGAACTATGTTGAAAAGTTACCTGCAGGATACTGACATTACTGCTTCTATTTTCCTCAAAACCCATTAAAGTTATTCTGATGCTCTAAGTAATGTAAAGTATCCCTGTAACAGGCCGTGGAGGCCAATAGGGTTGTGACATGTTGAGGTTCCCACATTATCCAGAAAATCGGCTCATAGATAGCGGCAGCCCTACGCGCCGGCCACCCTTTACCCCAAAGAATATTCCTGGTACTCATTTCTGTTAGAGGCTGAGTTGACCCCAGGGCCATAGTGTGGCTGGAAGGATTAGGTCAATTGAAAAAAATCCAATGACCGATCCAGCTAGTTTCCCGTACCTATACCGATCCGTGAGGACAACTTGCAGTGATCATCATACACTGTCCTAAGGTAGAAACAGGTGTAACAGGGGTAGCACCATTCCGACTGAGCTGATATTACAAAGGCGGGTTGGAAAAGAGCGGTATTAAGTTCCAGAGATTCCTGTCATGAATAAATAAAGTGTAACATAAATATATAGATATAATTTTTAATTTAATACCAAATTCATTTTACTGTGGATTCAATAAAATACATGTACATGGTACTTTCAGTAAGAACAACAGATATTTCAGCTCCTGAATATAAATTCCTTTACATATTATTATTAGATCTACTGCAAAAAAGTGCAGTGCTATGTGTTAAAAAACTTACAATAGCAAAATAAGATTCTTCTGAACTATAATACCTGCTTTCATACAACATAAATATATTTTAGTGATGGCACTGTGGTGTTCATATTGATTGAAGTAGGCCTTCACAGGGAATGTATTAAGTCATATATGAAGGAGCTGTAATGCAGTCATGAAAGAAATATGTGGATAAAATTCACGGTTCATGTTAACTATCACCACATTATTCTGGTTTATTACTATCCAGCACATGGTACTTGAGTTCACAAAGGCCAAAAGAAAATGTAATATTAGATGGCAAAAAAAGAAGAGAGTTAAAATATTCAGTGATAATAAAAGAGAGCACTAGACTCTTCTTTCATTTCTTTCTCTCTTAAAGGAAAGTACCGTATTTATGCATGTATAGGCCGCACATTTTTTGCCAAAAATTCAAGAGGAAAACTGGGTTGCGGCTTATATTCGAAATATTCGAAATCACACTTCATTTAAAAAAAATTATATTCATAATTAGTAATACAGGGTGTTCTACTCTGAAATAATATTCCAAGAAAATTATTTTTTCTATAATTTCTGTCTGAAAATTGTGCTGCGGCCTATACATGCGTAAATACGGTAGTTGAAATGCATATGTAGTCTGTGAAGTATAGTGTCTGCTGGTTAACTTCTGCTTGTAGTGAAAGGGATGCAAACACTGTAAGTAACTTTCCAGTACTACATAGTTGAAGAGTCATAGTTCTTTTGTTGATAAATAGTCAAATAAATATGGTCAAGAATGGCCTATAAATAATTAATTATGATAGATAAACATAAAATGGTCCATGCTGCCATTTGTATACATTTGGTCAGTGGTTGCATATAGGTCTCTATGGTGTTTCAGTCAGTACAAAGTGAATGTAAGAGGATAGAATATAAAACAAGTTGCAATTAAATTTTAGTATACATATCTCATTTTTATTGGTTAGTCATTATTTGATGTTTTAGATTAAACCAGAAAAACTGAAATATGGTATGATTCTCAAATGTAGTAAATCATTAAAATATCAGAAACTGTCACTGACATTTTGATGAATGCAACCCTTGCAGCCCTTAATGATGAGCCCTCTTAAGTCAACATCAATGTACAGTCTTTTTTATTTAAAAATGGAGAATAAAATAAAATGAGGTATAGGGAGAGATGTTACTGCTTTACAGGACAACCTGCTGTTAAAGTTTCAATTAATGTGGCCATGTAAAATTATGAGTATAAGGAATATAGAATTTTTAAGGTTAATTTTGTACATAACTTTATGCATCTTTCAAATCTGTATTCCAATAGGTTTTAAAAGAACTTTGAAAAATGAAAATCTTTTTGTTAAGGTCATGTTTCTAGTCAGAAGTGGAGCAGGCAGGGAGACAGAAAAGAGGACTTATTCATGAATGTGAACACTAAATGATAACAGGATTAAGATCCATAGTGCATTATGAAAAATATGTGACGTATCAGTATAAAACAAAATGCAGTCATAAATAAATTAGACATATTAAGTCTAAGCACAAGGTTTGACTAAGGAAAGTGAATAGTGGAGATAAGGAATAATTAAGTAAATTCCCTTCAAGAATACTAAAGTTAGGCAGGCTGGAAAGGTAGAAAAATATATTTCTCCAGAATTGGCCTATCAAATTCTGCAGTGTAGACCAGACTGGGACTATCTCACATGTAACCTATGTCACTTGCCAATGTCGAGCACTTATGTGGTTATCAGTGCTTGCGAAAACATCTGCATTTAAATCTCAATATATTACAGTCATTATCTTTGTAAATACAATTAATGGTGATGCATGATTTTTTGTGAAATTGCAGGATATCTATTCAAGTAAGGGCCACGCCATAGCTCAAGTGGTTAGTCGTTGGCTTCCCACCGCGGTGGCCTGGGTTCGATCCTGGGTCAAGTGGAATTTGTGGTGGACAAAGTGGTGCTGGGGCAGGTTTTCTCCGAGTACTTCGGTTTCCCGTGCCAATCTTCATTCCACCAATTGCTCCACAATCACCCTCACCTATCATCGGGCTGGTACAATAGGCCAGAAGTGGCTGCAGTACAAGGGACTTAGTCCCACCCCACTAGCAATAAAATAAAATTTATTAAAATATCATCTGTCAGTAACAATTTATATTAAATAACTTCTTCATACAGAAATTCCTTATAAATGTAACACTGTTTCTCTCTACAAAATGTTAATACAACGTTCATACAACGAACGTCTTACAAATAGTTTGCAGATTTTCAATCCTATTATTTCATATAAGCTGTAATTGCATTGCTTGAGAATCACAAGTTTCACATACACAAATCACACAAGCTCTTTTATGTAGATTATAATTTAATATCCTCACATACTGATGGAATCATGCAGCTTCACAGTACACTTCATTTTTAATTTTGTGCTTTTGCATTTGTCCACCATTCTATTCCATTTCAAAGTACACAAATATCAGAGCTGAGTAGTCTCTTATAGATATTGCTTTTAAGCCTGTGAAAACATTCGTCGCATCAAAAAAGACACAGAGAAGAAGAAGGATAGGCATCGTTCCAAACTTCTCCATGTCAAAGACCATATATGTAATTAAAATGCATGTAGTAATATACGTACATTATTTTACCCACTGTTCCATCATGAAACTGGGTACCATAGCTAAAGTTCATGGTGGCTTTCCTCAGTTCAGATTGAGAGCAGCAGCTACATCAAATTTCATTCCAGTTCATCATTCCTGGTCACTCATATAACATATCTAATGCTACCGCGTGATTCAGCACCATTAAGTAACCTCTTAACAATCTTTCTGTGACATTTTCATCATATAAACTTCAGTTGTATACTATCTGCTTTGCAAAACTTTTCACATGAGTTATTATATATAAATAAACAAAGCCTTTACAATAAAAGAACTGCATTAGAAGAAACTTGTTAATTTTACATCATTTCCATTAAAGTTGATTATTATTTTGATTTAGTCATAAGGTTGCAGACACTAAAATTGTTCATGGTAAAGATATACTCATTCAAATTTTGACCACACCTAATGGATTTAACTTTCATAATGGGGGCAAACAATAATAATTAATTTTTCCATCAGATTTCTGCATAATGTTTTATAGGCACCTCAGACAAAAATGTTCCCACCAAAGTACTGAGCAAACCTAATGTTGCTTAACTTGAGTAATGGGGACAAACAAAAATAATTCATCTTTTCACTTTTCTCTTTATAATATTTTATAGAAGGCTCAGATAAAAAATGCACTCATTCAAGTACTGACCAGGTCTAATGTTGCTTAGTTTTGTAATTTGGAGAAACAATAATTTAAAATTCTCCATCTTCTTTTTACATTATTTTGTAAACAACTTGGACAGCCGTATTTTCAGCATGCAATCATGCTCATTTCTAATGTGCTTCTGAAACCACAATTAAACCTTCCTGTTGAAGTAAGAATTCTTGTATAAAACACCCAGTATGAAAAAAAATAAATAGGGTTATTCATATCATCGCATAGCATGGAGCTTCCATCGCAACAGGCAGTAAGTTACCACTCTCAAGAGCAGAAGAGTGACGGAGAGTGCTATGACATCATTCCAAAATTGGTCCCCAGTCATGGCAATATCATGCAGGAATGTGTTTGGAAACCTGTAGTGACAGTAGAATTCCACGCAGTCCAAAACTTCTCTTCCATATCCATAAATTGCACTTATATACCCTTCGAGACCATATCGAAGATAGCTAATATGTGAGCCCCACTTGAGATAACTAGGCATGTCTCGGAGATTTACTCCAAACCCAGCAAACATCATCACAGGCACTGATATAGCTGGACCCAGGAATGTGCCATTCTGAAACAATATATCACATTTAGTGTTTTCTTTAAATTACTGAAATATGTACAAAATACCTCATGCAATTACTGAAACTTGGTCTCTGTCATTATTGAAAGAACATGGATCGTTGGTATTCTGAAAACAAGAAAAGGTGCTAAGCAGAACATTTGGACCCAAGAGGAAGGCAGTAACACAAAATAGTTCTGTAATAAGGAGCTTAATAATTTCAACTATTATAACTGTGTGATGAAATCAAGGAGAAAGAAATGGCCACAGCATGAAACATTTATAAACACATAAAAAAACTGTAATCTGAATACCTGAAGGAAAGAGGCCACATAGAAGATCTAGGCATAGGTGGGAGGATGATGTTGAAATGGAGCTATTAAATGATTTTGTCTCAGTAGAATTTATATCAGTGGCGGTGCGCCATTGTATACATGGTAATGAATGTTTGGGTACCATAAAATACTATAATTTCATGTCTAGGTGAGCAACTATTAAATTCCCTTAAAGGACTCTGCTGCATGGAATTAGTTCCTTAATTAGTGTGAGAAGAGTTCCGGTAAATATTATGATAAAATGTGACTTCCTTTGAAGATGTCTTGTCTGACTGAATAAAACATGCAAATTTTGTGACATTCTATTTAGTTTCATGTCTTTTTTTTTTTTTTTTTTTTTTTTTNTTTTTTTTTTTTTTTTGTAATTTTCCAGTATCTGTAACTGGCAAATGCATGTGTTCATGCTATAACAGTCATACAGGTAAAAAATTAGATTTATATTCACGTCTGTCCCTTTCTATGCAAACTCCAAAATTACTAAAACAAAGGCTCCAAATCCATCTCTGTTATGATCCCAACCCTGTTCTGGTCACAGAGATTACCCGAGGTACCTGCATTAACAACACTGGAGAAGTGTATAAGTTATGGGGTTTCCCATTGACTGATTTACTCCATATTGCTCTTAGTTTGTTTGCAATGCAAGATACTTCATTAAACCTCAACCACTATTAAAATTTTGTGTCAGAGTTTCCTTTTTACGACGACAGTCCTCTGGTATATGACGCAGTGTAGTTTGGTAGATTAATACCAACATTTCGGAGAAACCTGGTACCTGTATTTTCAAAGGAGAAAGAATTATATCCTGAAGATGGAAGCAGCAGGTCCCCGAAACGTTGGTATCTATTTAACGAACTACACAGCATTACACTTCATAGGAAAGATTCAATCCCGGCAATGCAGACAGCAGTTTTTCCCGAAATGTTTGTACTTGTCTACAAGTCTATACAGTGTAACCTCCCAAAAGACAGTAATTGAATAGAAGCGAAGACGTCGTGTTGTTTTAGTTGCAAATAGGCCTGAGAATGGGATCTGTAGAGAGTTAGGTTTACGTTGTAACAGAAATCTTGCGTGAAGCTGAATCACCAAGACATGTAATATATCATCACATTCTCTTTCTTTCTGTTGCTATCGCATCCTGGCGATCCTGCCAGCGTTGAGGACATCCATCGTCTTATCCAGTCAGTACCAGGGGCTCTGTCCTCTGGCTTGCAGTAGTATAGTGCTATGTAAAATCTGAGGTTTTCACGGCGGTGACTATGAAGAAAACAGTCTTCTGGGATGTGGCGCAGTGTATATATTGTGTTAACCGAAGTTTCGGAGGATACAGAAGCGATACGTTCCTCCGAGACGTCGGTTAGCACAATATCTATACGGCGCCACATCCCAGAAGACTGCTTTCTTCGATATAATAGTAACTTCGCTCAGAACTATTTCCATAGTGTACATTCTGTTGTGTATCAGAAGTATGTGGGAAGGTAAAGTTTCCCTCAACACAAGAAATGTGGCTTTACAATCAGTCGATATTTAGATTGAATTTTATTATATTTTCTACGGCTACATGTTTAGGTCCTCATGGGACCATCATCAGGCAGTATTATGATTGTACGGCTTAGGTTATTGAACTCCTGAATATGGATCCATATTTAGTGCGACACGTCCATGTTATAAAGTTATGCCTGAGTTAGAATGTAAGAATTAAAATATTGACCTCAAAGATTTTTTTTTTAATTTGTATTATCATGTAATGTTTACCGAAGATGAATAATATGTTGGAACGATATTATTACGAGATAAAGCCTTGGGAATAAAATTGAAAGTTATACCATTAAAACATAAAATATTAAAATTATTACAAATATTAGGACAAATATTAAGATTATGGAATATGAGGTTACAATTTCTGATGTAATGTTCAGAGTTTTCAGTGTTGTGTGAATAATTGTGGGAAGCCACATTGTTGAGCGTCTCTCAAAGTAGATGTTATTACGCCGGAGGTTATGCGGTGGTAATGTATTTTGGATATTATTGCTATATGCTGTTACGGTGTGTTAATATTCATGCAGTATACGTCTTGTGTATAGGTTGTAAGATATTGCTATTGTTCATGTAACATGCGCGTTCCTTTCTGTTCCGGCGTTTTGTGTATCGTAGCTTGTTTCAGGCAGGCAGCTACAGCATAGTTCAGAACGGAGCGAGAACTCCGTAGTGTTCCCTGGGTCCTAACGCACTACTGTTGCAATGCAAAGGCACTGTGGGTACTTCACGAAGAGTAATTCCTCGTCTTTTAGTCAATAAGAAGCGGTCTCTCTATTCCCTGTCGCAGCTGTTTTATTTAGGTGTACTATGTTGACGTTCTGAATACAGAACAGAGCCCTGATTTAGAATGCTTGGAGTTTTATTGCAAAACCTATACGCTTTTTTGGCTTGGTATTAAGGCAGAGGCTCAACTCTTAGCCAGGACTTACCACGACGTCGAATACGGCACCAATCATGAGGCCGAAGCTCATTGCGACGTATACAATAAGTAGGCTGATGACGAAGAACATGTTGAATCGCCCCATGTCTGACGGCTGCCCGCTGATGAAGTACACGAGCAGAGTGAATAAGAAAGAGCCCAGCACCTGTTAACGTAAGGATGTATTCCTGGTTATAATATCCTTGGGTGAGAATTATTCCTGAGAAACTTGCAGTCACTTAGCTTGTCAAGACACATTCCTCCCATTATGAATGCCGAGTCACACGAACCCGCACCTATCCTGGCCCACACGAATCCAGACTGCATCCTCACACTATTTAAGATATATTTCATTCTTGTCGAAGCCGGGATAGTTCAATTGTTATAGCGACAGCCTACAGGTTGGATTGCAGGGTTCCATTCCCGGCAAGGGCAAGAGATTTTTCTCTTCCTCATAATGTCCAGATTGGAATATTATATTTAAGCATCATGTTACACTCTATACAATGTATGACACAAACTCAATCCTAAGTGCAACAATTTATTGTAGTTCTTTTGTCTTCTTTTCTTCTACACTATATGTTTCGGCCGTAAATGGCCATCATCAGATGTATACTCTCACGTAGCTGTTACACTGCACTTAGTTTAAAATTTAAAAAAATTAAAAAACACCAGCTTTCTTAATTGTTCATTTCGACGTTGTTAATAGGTCCCGATATATCAGAATCCCCTTGCTGATGTCTGTCAGATATGTATAAAATCTTTGTTAATTTACATACGTCAATTTGATTTTTTTTTTAATTTTGGTATTTTAAAATCTTCAATTTAAATTTCATTTTTTTTAATTTTTTAAATTTTAAACTAAGTGCTGTGTAACAGCTACGTGAGAGTATACACCTGACGATGGCAATTTACGATCGAAACATGTAGTGTAGAAGAAAAGAAGACAAAAGAACTACAATAAATTGTTGCACTTAAGACGGAGTTTATGTCATACATTGTCCAGATTGGATCTCAGGCCCACTGAGCCTCCTATCCGATGGGTACCAGGAGCTCTTTCCTCAGGGTTAAAGTGGCCAGGACGTGAAGCTGACCACTCACCTCCATCTACGTAGTGCCGAGGTCATGAATGGTGGAATTATACCTCCACTCTCCCATACGTCTTCATGATGTAGTACTTCATTAAGGAAAGGGACACTTTTACTTTTACCTTTAATATTGCCGTCCCATCTATGCCTACTTGTCTGTATTGATCTCCTCCTGAATGTTTTGCGACTAAAATTTTATACGAATCATTTAATGTAGCCATGCATGCTACATACCCCACCCCTCTCGTCACCTTTTTTTTGGATTGCCTTGTTCATGTTTACAACATATTAATTATAAAGAAAGTATGCTTTCAGAAGAAAAACTGAATGTCACAATTCCATGTAAACTACAGTGAAACCAACTCTCATAGTTGTAGGGAACAAATAAATTGTTGGACATTTCATTTCCACTCTGGAAAAAATAATACATAACTCTAGTATTTTTTTTTTCCCCCCCTGGTACTACAGCCCCAGTGGGCCTAGGCCTACCTCCATGAACTTCTCCGTTCATTTCGGTTTTTCTAGATCTTACACATACGGTAGGACTCCTTGGGCGAGTGATCAGCTCGTCGCAAGGCCTCTACCTGTAGACGAACACAGAAAAACGCACACAAACATCCATGCCCTGAGTGGGATTCGAACCCACGATCTCGGTTTCCGAGCGAGCGAAGACAGTGCATGCCTTAGACCGCTCGGCTACCGTGACCGGCTATAACTCTAGTATATTCTTTAAAAAATACTATATAACACTTCATAGGACACACACAATGGTACACTTACCATGACAGGTATATCTGTTATAGTGATCGATATGTAGTATGACTTGAGTGAGTACCATCGATTGAAATGTTCCTTCTGCAGAACTGACATTTCTGATGGAACTGAAATGAGAAGTAATACAAGCAAGTATAAGTCATAAGACGTTTGTTTGTTACCGTAACTCTCATGTTGCACAAATAAATAAATTAATTGCAATTTTAAAATATTTTAATATTACATTTCAGCATCCTGTTGCATTGATATATCACTTGTCCACTTACTTCCATTTCTGATGCAACACAAATTTTTATTTTAAAATGTCATTTGCAGTGATATTTGAAATTCATAACATCTCATTAAAATCACATTCTGTTTAACTGACTGATTTATTGATTTAAATCAATTAGCAGTTGCACGAGGATAGCCTCGTAGGGCCGAAACATGTTGCAACAATGGAATAAAACGTGATTTTAAGACATTTAATGAATTTTAAATGAGGCTGTAAATGACATTGTAAAATAAGAATTTGTGCTGCATTAGAGACGGAAGCAAGGGGACAAATGGATTACTTACTTACTCATGGAGCTAAGCCCTTCTGGAGGAGCCGCCAATTCTGCAATTACTCAAGAATTTCCCAGCATTCTATGTAACCCGAAGGTTCATTATCATGTTCACAAGAGCCCTCCACTGCTCCCTATCCTGAACCAGATCTGTCCAATCCATCCCATCCCATCCTATCTCTCTAAGATCCATTCTAATATTGTCCACCCACCTATTCCTTGGTCTTCCCTGTGGTCTCTTTCCTTCTGGCTTTCCCACCAATATCCTATACGCATTCCTCGTCTACCCTATTCGTGCTACATGACCTGACCACCTCATCCTCCTTGACTTGATCATTCTAATTATGGACAAAGGGTTTAAATTATTTTATTGTTGTTGTTGTCGTAGAGAGTTCTCATTCATTCCTCTGTAATCTGTCAGACGACAGGTTCACAGTCTCTTCCAAAACAGTTCCTCCATATATGAGACAAACTCCGTCTTAAGTGCAACAATTTAATTGTAGTTCTTTCTTCTTCCCTTCCTCCACACTACATGTTTCGGCCCTAAATGGCCATCATCAGGTGTATATTCTTACGTAGCTGCTACACTGCCCGTAGTTAAACATTTAAAACACCAGTCTTTCCAATTGTATGCATGTATAAAATCTTTGTTAACCTACACACGTCAATTTGATTTCCAAAATTGGCACTTTTTAAACTTCAATTCAAATAAAATGTCTTTAATTTTCCGTTCTTTTTCTTTTTCCAAATTTTAAAAATTAAAATTTCTCGGGGTACTCGCCCTATGTCTATAGTGCTGCAGCGGCCACTTCTTGTTTTATCGCTGTTCAGGTATTGTTCTGTGTAGGCTCTCTGTGTGTGTGTCGCTGCCTATCTTTAATACGGAGTTTGTCTCATATATTGTGTGAGTATAACAGGATGCTTAAATTATAATATTGTAAACAGTTCCTCCACTTGATGCGATCTAGAGCTTTCTCCTTCAAATGAAAATATCCTCTTCTGTCCCCAAGGTCATCCAGCATCTTCTTACGTCTTCTTCCTCGTCTTCTGGTCACTTCTATCCGCCCCTCTATCTTTCCTTCAATAACTTCTTTTAGAAGGCAGTTACCGCGTAAGATATGACCAATCCAATTAGCTTTCCGTTTTCTTATTTCGTGTAGGATATTCCTCTGCTCACTGACTGTAAATAACACTTCTTCATTTCTCACATAATCGGTCCAACTGATCATCTCCATCCTTCACCAACGCCATATTTCGAAAGTTCTATGTGGAGAAAAAGAAATCCTTTGTCTTCCAGGAGAGGACAGTCAGCAGTATATTCACTTACACAAAGACAGGAATATTCGGAGGGAGCTGGTGCATCAGATCACCAAAGTATTGGCAGGGACAAAGTAATGTAGCTTTCAGAGGCCGTGAGACGTGTCAGTGCATGATTTTGTCCTGTATGCTTTGCCTTCTGGAGGAAGTTCTGACGCCGTAAAAGACGGACATAGCTTATTTCAATTTGTTATTTTGTATCAGGTGAGAAGGTCACCTCCCTAGAGGAAACAAACTACGCGTAGCCTCGTATCATAGCGTGTCTCAACCTGTGCAACAAATATTATATACCTACACATTTAACAACGGTTCACAAAAACGTGATAATAACATATCTTACCGAAGTACACTGCATAATATCCCAGAAGACCGTAATCTCAGTGAGATCCTGTTCATCCCAGTTTTATCTTATTGGCCCGCTGTGTTGTTTATCTGTTAAATTGTTGCTCTTCCGATAATTCTGTCAGGTACGCAAAGAGAAGTTGCAGAAGTACGTCATTAACTATGTTGTGTCTGTTGGGACACTCTGCAGACCTACATGCATTGATGCGTCCATCTCGAGAGGAACTCATGTGACACTTGCCAAATATTTATTGGAATGATACATGTTTTGATCAGATATTTAGAGAAAAATTAGATAATTTTTATGCCTAATGTTCTGTTTTCCGTAAGTCTTAGGGTTCTCGAGAATATTAAAAATAATTCAGCGTATAATCAAAATTATTACACTATTCTCATACTTCTTAGGTTGTTTAAATATTTGTGTAATGTTCCATATCACACTTTTTCAGAATATGCATTTTTAATCTTAATATCCTTATTTTATTTGTAACTCTTTTCGTATAATGCTCTTTATAAATTGTTAATCTGTGTTAATTTGTTTTGTTTCCTTCATGAAAAATAACGCAGGCTAAAGCAACCACTGGCCCGTCACGGTAGCCGAGCGGTCTAAGGCATGTACTGTTTCGCTCGCTTGGAAACCGGGATCGTGGGTTCGAATCCCACTCAGGGCATGGATGTTTAGTTTGTGTACAGGTGGAGGCCATGTGACGAGCTGATCATCAGCCCAAGGAGTCCTACTGAACGTGTAAGATCTAGAAAAACCGAAGTGAACGGAGAAGTTCATGGATTTAGGTCTAGGCCCACTGGGGCTATAGTGGCACGGGGAAAAAAATGTGTGCTACCCGGAATTTCTCAGTGAACTAGAGATTGCATGTCAATAATACATACAAACTTAAAAGAAAAGCATAAAGAAATATTACTAGTGTAAAAAAAAGTAAAGCTATCCCTGTGACAGGCCGTGAAGGCCCATAGGGTTGTGACGCTTTGAGTGTCCCACATTATCTCGACAATCGGCTCAAAGATGGCGATAAGGTTGTCAGCCTTACGCTCCGGCCGCGCTTTACTCCCCAGGAAAATTATTAATTTATTCCTGGTACTCATTTCTGTTAGCAGCTGAGTAAACCCCAGGGCCTAGTGCGGCTGGAAGGATTAAGTCAACTGAAAAAATCCAATGACCTCATCGGGACTTGAAACCGCGACCTTCCGGCTTGTAGCATAGTGCCTCAACCTACTACGCTACCGCGTGCCCCCTTACAACTAATGTATGAATTATAACTAGTTTATGGATTAATACGACGGGCCGGTATAACACAGTCGGTATAGCGACTGGCTAAGGGCTGAACGACCGAGAGGTCGGAGTTCGAGTCTCGGTAGGGTCAAGAATTTTCTCTTCTCCACGTCGTTCAGACCGGATCTGGGGCCCACCCAACCTTCTATCCAATGGCTACAGGGTATTCTTTCACCGGGGGTAAAGCGGCCGGGGCGTGAAGCTGACCACTCAACTCCATCTAGTGCCGAGTTGAAGAAAAGTGGATCTATACATCCACGCCCCCATACGTCTTCATGGCGTAGTGCTTAATTAGTTAAGCACAGGGACAACTTTGACTTTCCTTCATGAATTATTATGTACATTCATGACAACACACTCACAGAGGAATTTGTTTAAAATAATACAATGTTTTATGAGCTTTGAGACGAGATACTGTACCGATATGTGCATAAGATTCGGAAATGCTAGGTTATTCGATAACCTGAATGATAAGCAGAGGAACTAATTAAGATTTTACTCAAAGAAATTACTTTCTAACCTCAATTTTAAAGTAAGTTTAATTATCTCCATTCAAATGTTTTTCTTTTTTTTAATTCTGATCCAAAACATAAAGAGCACGCTTAAACCTCAGAGCGCGATACGGAAGACATTCCCTCCCTTTCCAAATACTGCAGCATCCCCATCTGTACCTTCCTCGTACTGGTTCTCAGACGAAAGGCATGGAATCGTGTTGAATGAAATCTCTCCATATTTGATAAAATATTTGTCTCAAACTGCGCTTTCCCCCCCCCAAGAAAACTACTTTTTATATTAAAATCATTGTTTTCTGAGATGTGATACCTTGTGTTCTGGTATATACTTACAAATATTTCCGAGGAACCTGATACCTTCATCTCCGGTGGACATCAGATATCAAAAGACAGCAATTTTCAGTCACCACTATGGGAACTTGAAATCTCTCACCTCACGTAAAGCTTTAGCAACTCTTGTCGTCTACAACTTGGTTGTATACTCACATGTGAGGATGGTGATCATCATGGGAGTCATCATGTTGTGTATGAGGCAAGCGAACAGCAGGTTGTAGTTGTCTAGCACGCGAGAGCCTTCGTTCCCTTCTCCAAGAAACAGAATTCCCAGCATGATGGCCACGATGATGTTCACTAAGATGCGCAGGTGCGTTAGAGTCTGCGCAGAAGAATGACGAGCTTAAAAGACAGTGCACAAGACGTATGGGGCCTTAGAGTAATGAAACGTAATAATGGTATCTTAATGGGTGACAATATAACTGAAGCGTTTTGTGCTTAATACATTGTGGTACATCCTGTTCTACAGAGATGCTATTCTTCGTGCAGGCAAATAAAACTAATTCTGTCAATTATTTTTCTTAATATGTAAGAATATTCATACACTCGCTCCATGGCCAACAATAAACTCTAGGAAAGATATTCTTGTACCGTTGAAGTGCAACAGTCAATATAAGCGAGTTCGTTTGGTTTCACACTGAATTGTGCATTATTCATTGGCTTCTTGTAATTTTGCCCACAATGAGCCCATCATGAAGATAGTAAATAACATACGAATTTCTCTCTTTAAGTCTAAATAAAATCGTAATGGTTGAGTGAGGTTATGAATTCGCAACAGCTTGTTGTATGTGCCGTTAGATGGTTCCGCCATGAAAAATGCTGATTTATCAGAGTTTCTTGTAAAATATATTTTGTACTTTTTCTGTACTGAATGCTGTTGTTGGATTCTGAATAGACGAAGTGGAGTCCATAGTGTCACATAGAATTCCAAGCCTTTTTTTCCTTTTTTTTTTACGATTTAGTTACAATAATATTTCAGCAGTTCAATAAAGCAGCAAATTGAATAGACGAAAGTGAGTAGAAAATCTAGTTGTAGTTTTATTCTTATGATAGTTCGCAGTATAATACGAGTATTAAGATCTGTCCATTAAGAGCATTAAAATATCAGGCTGCATACCGACGGACAGACGTGATGTTCCGTGTTCGTCTGCTTGCGATAGATCCTACCTAAATACATTACATTTCAACACAGTATCTATTCATAGCTTCGTCTTCTGGGTATAGCACCTTACCGAGGATCAGAATATAAAACACAGGAAATAAAATACTGCCAACTACTTGGATAAACGTGTTGTTCCCTAAACGTGGATCCATAGTGCTGTTTTTATTTTATAATTACTACCGTCTTTCTGAAAAAAAAAATCGATGGCTTCGAACCTTTGACAGTATTTCTATGTATTTTCATATTTTTAATTTTATGAATATTTACATAATTTTGCAAATTTGATTTATTTCACGAAATTTATCATGGATATTTTGTTTTCAGATGCAGCCCAGTAGTGTCATAACAACATGGCAGACGCAGGAACATGTAAGTTTGGAGCGCCACATAATCTTAGGTTCTAAAATTATGTACGATACTATATCTTAAAAAAAAAAGTGCAACTTCTATTAAGGTAATTTATTGCAGAATATAAATCAAGAGATGATGATTACGTGAAATGTGTATTTAGCTTTCGGTCTGTTGGCGATAAACAATTAACTACTGGAACACCTGTTGTTTATGAGTTAACAGTTACTACGGACATGGCGACAGTGTCAAATTTTGAGCTTACGGTCAACAAATTTAACGTAGACTAAATCTGTATTTAAATGATAAGTAGACAATGACGATGATAATGGTAAGCAATAAACGATAATGATACTAGTCACAACAATAATTTAATTTACAATTTACTGTTGCTAGCAATAAAGGTTTAATTTGACCAGTATTCATTCTTATGTACATCTACGTTTTAGTCCATGCTAGACCATGAGCTAAATGTAATTTCATTCTTTCTTTGTAAATACTGTATTTTCATTATCTATATATGACATTAAGTTCGCAATATATTTATGTGTATGTCATTCAAATAATAAATTAGCTTTTGTATTAGTTCTACCTGAACGCGCTCTTTAAGTTTCGTGATTATTACGTAAACACTACTAACGTTTTATAGCATCATGTTGTCTTTGGAACGTCGGTTATATTCCGTTTCTTTAAAAGTACTTTGACACCGTATATTCTGGTAGTGGTAGACACTTACAAAGTACGCGACACTGAATCCGAGAAGAAGGCACGCCTTGAGAATTACAAATATAGCAGTTTTATTTCTTGTCTTATAATTAACACCAACATTTCAGTGAAACTCTTGGTTTAGAAACGTGGGTGAGATTTTTTACACTTTAAATTTGTTCTCGAGTCTGCGTTATGTCTAGATAACAAGCAGTGAACTTAAATGTGTTATTTGTTCAGAAACAGGATCATAACTCTCAACCGAAAAGACTTTTAGCTTTTATTTTATCACTTTACAGAATGGTGCCAATTTCATTTTCCGTCGTGATGTTGGCTGTGTCCGCGAAGCTGTATTATTTGATAATATATAAACAATTCTTTCGTTCTGCTTATGTCGACATTTCAGAATTCGATATTTTGTGAATCGATTCGAGCCGGCGAAACTTCACCGATATATCGTAAATTTATGCTTGTACTCGTACTTTGTCTGTATATAACAACACGTTGCCATAATGAATCAGAGAAGTGCTGTATGTTATCTGGGTTATCTAAAATAAGACTTAAGCTGACTTGGCCGCAGTTTGATAACCAATTGACGATGCTCACTATATGAATAAACAGACATGAAACATATTTACAACTTAAAAATACCAAGCAGATGGGTATAATTGTAACGCTCTAGATTTTTAATTGGGAGGTGTTCGGTTGCAATCTGGGCCAGGATAGCTGTTAACCTGAGGTTTTTGTGGTATTCCTTAGTTCCTCCATACAAATGCCTCATGTCCTTTCCACTTTATCATCACACCATTCGACGCTATGTAATCGATACTGACAATCTCGTAAAATAAGCCACAAATGTTCAGAAATTAGCTTAGATTTGTACTGTTCCCAACACGTAAGTTTATATTTTTAAGAAAATGGTCTCCCCCTTCTGCAGATAAATAGGAAAGCTTTCAAGGACTCCAAACGTATTGGTGTAGTGATTAGAAATCAAGCTTTATATTCGGGGTATCCTGGTTTCGGTGACTGCCTGTCATTACAGTTAATACTGCTTTAATATAGGCTCCGGCCGCTTCATTCTCAATTCTTCATTCACGATTATCCTCCCACCTGACGCTATTTTTTTTTCTTGGCACTACAGCCCCAGTGGGCCTAGGCCTACCTCCATGAACTTCTACGTTCACTTCGGTTTTTCTAGATCTTACACATTCGGTAGGACTCCTTGGGCGGCTGATCAGCTCGTCGCAAGGCCTCTACCTGTACACAAACACAGAAAAACGTACACAAACATCCATGCCCTGAGTGGGATTCGAACCCACGATCTCGGCTTCCGAGCGAGCGAAGACAGTGCATGCCTTAGACCGCTCGGTTACCGTGACCGGCAACGCTATTTATGTAATTGTAAGAACATCATTCATCTATGAAAAATTAAGGAAATGTAGGCATACAAAAAAGTACTTCAGATATAGCGACTTATAATGTGAAAGTTAATAGAAATAAAACTCGAACTTAAATTTTTCGTTTTTTTTTCACACTTTACGAATTAGGCCCCCTGGCACTGTCCAAACTCATACTTCTGAAATTACGAATCCTGCACTTGGCAGATGAATTTCTTGGACGGGACATCTACCTACCCAGAAAAGCAGAAACACAAAATTAATAACTTCCTTCCGAGCCCAATCTTTCATTGTTCGAACAGCTGAAGACAATGATTTTGTCCTAAACGACTCGACTTCTTGGCTAAAGCAATGGTAAACGGTAAAGAAAGGTACAGTAGTCCCTGTGCTAACTATTTAAGCATCACACCATGAAGACGTATGGGACGTGGATGTATAAATCCACATTTTCTTGACCTCGGCACTAGTTGGAGGTGAGTTGTCAGTTTCACGCCCCTGCCGCTTTACTCCCGGGGAAAGAGCCCCCGGTGCCCATTGGTAGGAGGTTGTAGGAAGGTGGGTGAACCCCAGAGCCAGTCTGGACGCTGTGGAGGAGAGAAAATTCTTGAATCTACCGGGACTCGAACTCTGAAACTTCTCTCGTCCAACCCATAGCCAGTCTCTATACCAACTACGCTATCCCGGCTCATCTAAAGAGAGAGAAAGACATATGGTAAAATTGAGAAACACTTATTACGTGAGGGAGATATAAAATTTTTGATGGTCATTTATTGAAGAATATTTATTTACGTATTTAGCTAATGTAAGACGTTTCTTGTTCCAATTTTAAGAAGCGAGTACTTGAGGTCATTTCCGATACCCAGTAGTTACATCGGCTGTTTATCAAAACACTTGCTGTATTGCCTGCTTAAGAGATGATCCATTTATTCGCACGAGAACATTGCGTGTTACATAAGCTGGATCTTACACGTGTTGACCAAGCCGTTTAAAACTGCCAGAGGAGCCAAGGGAGTGGATAGGAGGTTCGAATACCGAAATGTAAGCATATTCTAAAAAGTTATCTTTACTTGACCCAGTGCATTTGACAGACATGTTTTGCAAACCATAATCTCGAATTAATAGTTCAGCTCAGCAAACTCAAGGTTCTGCATCAGTAATTGCGGCATATTTAAACACTCCGTAATTTTATTGCTTGTTGGACGAAGTGGCCTTAGAATTGCGTATCAGTCTTGACAGAACTTTCACGGATTTATCCACTTGCTTTTCATTTAAAAGTACAATTGCTCTTGTTCTTTAGCATCATATGCCGTAAAGATTCTTCGGGGGTTGGAGGTGAAGCTCAAAGAAAATGTATTTTTAGATTCATCCTCCTGGAAAAGGCGTTTGGTTCCCATTGGCTGGAGGGTCATGTGGGTGCCTAAGAAAGACTCGTCCCCTGCCGGGAATCTAACTGCGGTCGTCCAGCCTGTATCTTCCTCGGCCTTTATATTAAGTAGCATACAAGATGCACGCTCGTGTCGTAATGGGTACGGTCACAAAGATCTTGTTTATGTTATTCAACTGATATCTCGGTGTGTGCCTCTACGGGAGTGATGACTCAGGCAGGGCGATTCCCTTGTTAAATACATCAGATATTACGTAAGCCGTTTTAACGCGGTTTTCAAGTAATCTGAGTTCAGGTTCACTCGTTACGAAATTATACAAGAGTTTTACAAAAAAGAATGAAAATTTGAATTGATTTTCGAACTGCTGTTTGTTTTTCTGTGAGTGTCGCCAAAAATGTTTAGAGTATAACGTAAATGTATTATGTTACTTAGTCTCAAACTCCTTTTCAGTCTGCTTGTTAGACTAAGAGGAGTAAAAATATTCGAGATCGGCTCAAGAAGGGAAATATTTGGCTTATTGGCGCTATCTTCATCGCGCCTGTTTTTAGCGCAAGTTTCCGTACAATTTCGGAACTTAACATTTGTACCTATATAGGTATGTGTTGTTATAGGAGTGTGAGACATTGAGTACAGAGTGGATCAGGGTAAGATGGTAGTAGGAGGTGGATGCATATTTTTTTTCTAGTTCGACAGAATGGTAACAGATGGCGACAAGAGACAGTTTATCGGTCCTTAGCATCAGTTCAAGGAGAAGTAAATCAGTGGAGCAATTGTGCTCCAGTACCTCGAGTTCTAGTGCAAAAAAGTACGTTGTCGCTGCAGTGTGCAAATCAATGAGCGTTGGAGCTGCCGTGGTCCGCCCTGATTGGATAGCGTTGGATTCAGTGTGGATGGCTCCCACAAGCCTGCTATCGTTAATTACATAGTGGAAACTCTTACATAAAAGGGGAACACATATTAAGGATTTTGGGAACAGGCCCAAGACGGAGGATGTTTCAGGTGACTTTCGGAAGTTGCGTAAGCAACCACATAACCTGTACTCTTCACCGAATATAATTATAATGATTGGAATATAGGAGGATGCGATGTTCTGCGCATGCAAGGGGGGCGAGAAGTTAGAAATGCATGGAGAATTTTTGTCGGAAAACCCGGAGGAACGAAACCAAGCGTAAAGGGTAGGCGAGATGGGAGGGTAATATTGAACCGGATCTGAAATAAATAAGGTTATACGGTTTTGCTCGATTAATTTTGCAGAGGATTGGAATCAGCGTCGGGCCCTTGTGGACAAGATAATAAATCTTCGGGTTCCGTAAGAAGGGGATTTTTTTTGAGCAAATATGCAGTCTGTCAGTTTCTCAAAAAGGACTTTGGGTCAATGAGTTAGGTTAGAAAGTTCGCATTATAATGAGGCCCTTTTGAAAGCGTCAGGTTAATTGCAAAGATTTTGCGTCCATATCGAATTTATGTTTTAGGGCATCGAATTTTGCACCGATCTTCGCTGTATTTGCGATAATAAATACTTGTACAATAATTATACAGGATTCTTAACTGCCAGAGTCCATGGTCAAAGTATTGCAAAACATGAGGGAAATAGAACACTTGTAAGTATAAATATACATACCTGGTCTCTTTTAGTCTTTATGTAGCCCCTTCGTAACAGCGCTTTAAGCTGATTCCAGGAAGAAGTCTCCTGTAGTCCATGGCGAGAACTTTTCTTTGATGGTTTTGGACCAGACATTGGCTCAACTGAAAATATAATCGACTTGTTCACAACACCAGAACTTTCGTTTTGTGGATGGCTGTGAACCAATCGGGACTTGGACCATAAATTTAGAGTACTTGGATACATTATGCTGCAACATTTAGGATACAGGGATTAAACACACAAGAAATCGAGAAAAACATGTAAAGGGGAACTCTTTGTTACTTGAAGAATGCCATCTTCTGGGATTTGGCGCTGCGTAGATATGGTGTAAACTGACCTTTCGGAGGAACGTATCGCCTCCATCTTCAGGATAGAAGAAATAATCCGCGAACGAGGTATCAGCGATACATTCTTCCTAAACATCGGTTTACACAATATCTACGCAGCGCCACATCCCAGAAGACGGCATTCTTCATAGTTACCGCTGTGAAAGCCTCAAATCTTACTTCGTTACTTATTATCGTTTATCATATACCGTAAATTGCAACACATTTAGGTGAGCTGTTTACCCCACGTGTTTCAACATCTACAACGTCATTTTCAGGGGAATCTGCTTTTTACTATGTTATAAACAAAACAGACGCCATTGAAGCTGACACTATATATGTCGAAACATGTCGGGTAGACAGCAGACCTAAATGTGCTGGAATTGATGGTATATTATAAGTGACAAATAAATAACATTACAGATTACAAAGGTATGCAAATCAACCTTAAAATAGGAATACTTATTATTTATAATTTTGTCACCATATTAAGGAATTAAAATTAAACAAGTTAATTTGGACGTGGAAGTTAATGTAACATAATGAAATCCTTATATTATATGCTGTTATAATAGATAACAGTTGTCACTTGCACGTTGAAATTTACCACCTTCTGAGTACAGGAAAATTTTAAATGCAGGCTGAGTGGACATAGATTTACTCAAATTAATGTTAAAAGACATAGTGCGGCATGTAGACCCCTTGCTAGGCAACGACTGCAAACGAAAAAATTGGAAAACGGCTGTCACTAGGCAACGGACCGTAAACATCAACAAAGGAATGATGATTTCTGTGCGGTTCATGCCTAGATTTTTTTATTGCAGGTGGGGTGGGACTAAGTCCCTTGTACTGCTGCCACTTCTGGCCTATTGTACCAGCCCCAGATGATAGGTGAGGGTGATTGTGAAGCAATTGGTGGAATGAAGATTGGCAGGGGAAACCGAAGTACTCGGAGAAAACGTGCCCCAGCGCCACTTTCTCCACCACAAATCCCACTTGACCAGATCCGGGATCGAACCCGGGCCGCCGTGGTGGAAAGCCAGCGACTGACCGCTTGAGCTATGGCGCGGCCTTGCATAGATATTACTTGTAGAGCAGTTAGTGAGAGTTATTAGGGCAGTGCACTACAGGGAAGTGAAGAGTTCGTTGGTGAGTTAGAGAACTGCAGTTCAGTCGGTGTGAGCTGTTGCTGTTTGAAGTTGGTAGCTGAAGAACGAGGATAGTTTGAGAGCTCAAAATAAGGGAATCGTCCGCCGTTGGAAGCCGTTACCAGACAACGACTAGTCAAGACAGCAGACTGAAAAGAATTAGTGCGTGCTGTAGTGAATTGCAGAACGTGAATTAGCGATAGCGCTATAGTTACTTGTTACAATCTGTAAGTCGTCAGTAAATCTAATTACCAATTGAAACACCGTCTGTAGTCAATCATACAAGTGGCAATACATAAATTAATTTATTCGTATATATTAAGAGTCTGGGTGTTCGTACCTGCTGTTCTGATATCTTTGACTTCCTCAGGTAACTGGAACCAAGTTTCACTGCGTCCGTTGTCCGTTCCTTCTACCATTCTGTCAATTTTTTCTTGCCCGTACTCCCCGCAAGCCAACTCGATGACTGTAACACCAGAACATTACCACGTTATGAACAGTATGCTCGTTTTCGGCAATATTTATCAGTCTGTGTTGCATGGACCCCACGACGTAATTTTCACCATTCCGCAAAGTCAACTTTGCGGTTGTATTACTGTAGCGTGTAGATCCTTTGCTGTGCAACGACGGCGAAATGGATGCTATACCGGGCCGTTTCTGGGCAACAACTCGCTAAACACGTTCCCGCAGCAACACACAGGAACGCAACAGTAGAAAAGTTGTGTTTTCTATGTTGTCCGTTATAAGCAAGGGAAAAGCTTGGAGCTTAGTCAGTTCTGTATGGGAGTCTGTGAAGAGAGGTCTTGAGCGCGTAAAGCTGAAGAATCTCCACTGTTAGAAGCCTTTGACAGGGAGCGGGTGGTGAAGACACAGCAGGCTGGAAAAGGTTTAACTGGTGCTGTGGTGATTTGTGAATTGTGGAGATTGGCGGTGGTGCTGTAATTGCTTGTAGTTGCGAGTCGTTTATATAAGTGGTCAGTAAATCCATTCCCAACCCAAACCCTGTCTGTAGTCACACACACTACGTGACCTTCCATTTTACCGCAGCTGAAATAATTACTGATTTATAGTTGGTTTTATTTTCATTTCATCGCATAACAATTTTATGTTGATCATTACTACTTTTTCTTGGGCAGTGCCTTATTAGGCAAGTCAGTCGCAAGTACTCCTCTCTCACCGCCGCGGTTGAGTGGGTAGCACCTCTGTTCCATATTACGGAGGTCTTGGGTTCAGATCTCAGCAAGGAGACGACCTATCCTGAGGTTTTCTTATTCTTCCGGTGAAATACTGGGAATATGTCTACGACCTCGTATTTACAGATTCTTCCTACTTAAATGGTCATTAGTCATTTTCTCATTCGATGCTGTAAAGTCTGTTCTACCGATATCATCGTTAAATGAACTGTAAATAAAAGAGCTTACTTTTATTCGCGTTGTAGTATAACGTGTAAAATTCTAACTTACCTTTATTTACAATTATTTATTCTCCATATATTTAATCTCAATTAATTGTATGACTAATTACTGCATATAAATGAATGATTTTCAAGGAACGCATCGCTTTCTCAAAAGAACGAAGAACTCTGAGATAGAATACAAATACTCTAGCCATAACAACCACTATCGCAACTATGCCTAATACTGGGAAGGATTGCTGTGATTATCTCTATTAGAGTCTTTCTGTTTTTTTTTTGACGTGACACATCCTTGTGATGACGTATAATTAGGTTTATGCAGGCCTAGTAACATCCACTGAACACGGCGTTGATAACAGAGGGTCAAGGATGTAAGCATTCTCTTAGTGAAACAGAAATTATTTTCGTAACAGATTATGGGTCACTAATTTGAACAGTTTTACCTGTGCAGTTGATGTTATACTCTTAAATTATGTGCATCAAGGACATTGCACAATTAGAGAAAGTGAGAGGAAAACTAAGAATTTCAAGTTATTTTGAATGTAAATTAATATCAAACGGTCCCTTTCTCTCGTGAACTTGTTTAGATAATAGATCTTTGACTTGTTGACTGTTAAGAATATAATCTGTGTGTACTTATTATCACTGTGCAAACTTCAATGGAAGAACAAAAGTATGAAGTATAGACAGACAGACTACAGCTTGTTTCCACATTCAAGAATTTGTTTAACAAAGGTAATACGAATACATTTTAAGATGAATGAATAGAATAACTGTCAGCGAATCTGAGCGAGCTCTGTTCGACCGTGTTTGGAAGAATGTTCTCGCAAATACCGAGAACATTGAGATAAGGAACTTATCTCTGACGTATCTTATTCGAATCTTGACCGGAAGTCGATTATTCTTGCCGATTCTTTTTTGTGCTATTACAACAGCTCTTTGTTAGCACAGTACATTGAAACAGTTTTGACTTTCAAAATCCATCCGTTTTCGTAACTTTGTCCTCTTCTCACGATCGGACAGCTGGTCAAGGCGTGCAAGGAATTCCCCATCGCAGTCATGTAACTGGGCGTCATAAACTGCTAGTCTTCTCACGTTGGAAGCAAGTTAGCAATCCAAGGATGTATAGGGCATACAGAACTAAGTAACTTCATGGAGCTGAGCTCGACTTGAGAAGTCGCCAGTAGTGTAGCTACTCGAGAACATCCCAGCATTTTATGGAACCCGAAGGATCATTACCGTGTTCACAAGAGCCATTCATTGGCTCCTATCCTGAGCCACATCAATCCAGACCGTACCATCCCACCGTATCTCTCTAAGATCCATTTTAATAATATCCACCCACCTAAGTCTTGCTTTTCCTAGTGGTCTCTTTCCTTCTGGCTTTCCCACCCATATACTACATGTACCTCGTCTCCCCCAAGCGTGCTACATGCCTTACCAGTCTCATCCTCCTCGACTTGATCATTCTAATTATACTTGGAGTAGAGTAAAAGTTATTAAGTTCCTCATTATACAGTTTTCTCCAACCTCCCATCATTTCATCTCCCTCAGGTTCAAATATTCTCCTCAGCACCCTGTTCTCAAACACCATCAGTCTGTGTTTCTCGCGTAATGTGAGAGACCAAGTCTCACACCCATACGGAACCACAACTGTCATGAGCGAACCTGCCCTATACATACTTCTTATTTTCCACGTACCAAATCTCATGTCTGTTTTCCTTAACTTAGATCGCTTATCCAAAGAATTCATCTAGGTCCGAAGTATTTGTGACGTTTAGTAACAAGCGTATTTTTCACGGTGAGGAGTTGTTAGCCTCACGGCCAACCCTCCAAGCTGGAGGACCATCCCTTGTCGGCTGTCCGTGACTGCTTACTCAATATATTCACAGCTATCCTGTCTATCTGGAGCCTATCTCCTCCATGCGCAACCTGAGGACACGCCATGGCGTGGTGACGGGGGCCCACCTATCATGGATAGAGCATATAGGGCTTCGGAATTTATAGGTAAGTAGAATAGCTCAGAACCGCTTATCTCACTGGGATGCTCGCTGATGCAATTAACTTCTGATATTGTGACACTGCAGTTGCCTTCGACGTCGCGCTGCTGTCTATTGTTAAGTAACGTGAGGCATTGCACACTGCATTCGCGTTTCGTCACTTCCTGTACCCGACAATGACGCCGGCATAACATAAAATGTTTCAGCCATCAGAATATTTCGTTTATGCGTCGAAACGTATAGTATGTATTTCGTGCCATTTGGTGTACTATTACGGCTGCTGGATTGGCGTCTTCAGCTGCTTTCAGAGATGTAAATAGCGGTTGAAAGCCGAGATAAGTGTCATGTTCGATAGCTCATTAATATCGTACATTTAGATATGTTTTATGACATATTTGGAATGTTACTTTGAACATTTTAATGAATACTCTGCCGATAACCGAAACGAGATCTTGTAGTTTACAGAGGGAGCAGTAGAATTTCGAAAGGCTCTTTTGGTTCATCAGTTAATAAAGAAATATGCCCCAGAACAGATGAATTGTACTCACCATAGTCTGCGGGGTTGTGGTACTTAGGACAGGGTAGTTCAAGCTGCGCAAGGTATGACACTAGTTGCCCTGCCGCTCCTTGGTACAAACACCGACCCTGAGACAGCACATACACGTGGTCGAACATTTGGAACAGGGAAGCGCTCGGCTGGTGGATTGTACAGATGATAGTGCGTCCTTGTCGAGCCAGGAGTCGAAGTAAGGACACGCACTGTGTGCACGACGAGCTGTCCAGACCTCTAAAACAATATGGCGTGTTTGCTTTAAGCACCAGAAGGAGGTTAATGCTTTAAGGCCCAGCGGTTGCTGCGTGTACCAACTGTCTTTAACATAATAAAACTTTACGTTCATACGGATTTCATTTTATATGTTCCGTGTGATTCTCACAGTTAACAGAGATCATTTCCTTAAACAGCGTTAACAGGTTCATCTTTGTAGCGGAGATATAATTTGTTTCCTGTGAGGTATGAAATGAATTTTATACATTACACAGAAATTTAATCTCAGAAAAAGTTAAATGGCTTTTGTTGTGCGTGCTACAGTCAAGTTGCCCCAAGTGCGACTGTTCTCGGCCTTATATATATCGTACAAAATTTCCTCACGTCGTTAAGGGAGATCTTGAAATAGCAATTTAAAGAATATTAGCTATATAGATTACTATGGGGTGCTGATAAGGATTTGGCTTTATAAAGAAAACAACAATCTAATGGACTGAAAAAGTTATTTACTCTACATATACCCCCTTGAGTTCCACACACTCATGACTTTGTTGTTCTAACTTCTTTAACCCATCCCCCACCCCCCCAAAAAATCTGTTGTGATGCAAACCACACGCCCATAGCTAATGTGGCCTCTTCAATGCTCGAAAACTTTCTTCCCTTGGCCTCTGGATCATATATATGGATCCAGGTTTCATCCATAGTTACGAGACCGTTCAAAAATGCCACACGATCCCTCCGAAATCGGTCCAAAATGATTTGTGAAGTAAGCACTCGATCACGCTTCTGAACAGCATTGAGACATTTGGGAACCCATTTGGCTGAGAGTTTTCTCATGTCTGAAATCTCGTGAATAATATAGCCTACTCTTTCTCGGGATATATGCCTGCTATCTTTCTAGCAGATATTCTTCGATCGTTCAGGATCATGGAATAAATGGCACCCATGTTTTCTGCAATTGTCACTTAAGTTGGACTCCCAGAATGTTCTTCGTCTTCAGTGCTCTAATGTCCTGTTCTAAACCTAGCAGTCCAGTTCTTCACTGTGGAGTAGAAAGGGCGCTTATCACTTAATGTAACCGACATATCATCATATTTTTTTGGCTGATTTCCCTTTTGGGAAAAGATATTTCATCACCGTTCGCTACTCTTTTGCAATGAAATCTCCGTTGTTTTGCGCCATTTTCACTTCAGATCGGCAAGGAACATTAAATAAGCAGGATACAATTATGAAATTTAAGTCAGACGTATACAAAACACTAAACTTTGATGTGATAAAAGTATTATTAGTATAAAAGTAGGTGAAATAAGAAAAGCCAAAGACTTATGAGCACCCCTACGTATGCTCAAATATCAGCTCTGACTTAAGTGAAACAACCATCGAGTTTACTCCATTTTATCTCAGTTTATAGGCAAAATACGCTTTCTTTCAAACATTTTTAAACACAGTGTACCAACCTCTACTGATGGAAACAGACGAATTTTATTTTTTAATTTGTTTTCCTTATAGGTATTAGAGATCATGATACATGATGAGTATATTTTAAACACCTTGTGTCAGATTGATAAGGTTACTACACGCCCTTCGAATATATATTCTGTAGGATTTGAGGGTTTCACAGCTGTGGTTATGGAGAGTTCTGTCTTCTCGGCGCATGTCTCAAGGACTGCAGGGTGTTATATCCCAGAAGGCAGAAATCTTCGTAAGCATTTTTTCTTTATACAGAATGACCCACAATTTCGTAAGAGTACCTCCGTATTATTGTATACTTTTTCAAAGATTCTTCGAGCCGGAGACCTACATGGTATATACACAATTTATATACATCTCTGTCGTACATCCTCGCATGTAGCTTACAGTACCGCTGACTTATGTGCTAATGGCCTCGTCAACCCGAAAAAAGAAAACATTTTCCATGGCAAAACACAGACTGACTTAACACTATAATGTTTCTCACTTTAGAAAAATAGCTTCGAACGTATTCAAAAACATTCGGTGAATAGTAGTTTATTTCTAAGTTCTGAGCAACACCTTTTCTCTTCAATTTTACTCTCTTTATAACATATACTTGACGCTGCCGACTGAATACCACTCTTGATTCCTATTCAGAAGACCTCGAGTTCAAGTCTCGGTTGATGATTTCTGCAGACTGTTATACATTAGGAAGCAGGAGCATCAGCAGAAGCTGCCGTTGATTCTTAACCAGTATTTGTTATGAAGAATGCCATCTTCTGGGATGTGGCGCTGTGTAGATCTTGTGAACCGACGTTTCGGAGGAACGTATCGCCACCGCTGCAGCCACCCGCTGCTCTGGTTCCTTGCTCGCGGATATATCTACCCTAAAGATGGAGGCGATGCGTTCCTCCGACACCTCGATTCACACAGGATCTACACGGCGCCACATCCCAGAATCTGAAAGGATAAGGTAAAGTGAAAAATCCACCTCATCGGGATTCGATCCCGCGATCTTCCTGCTTGTAGCATAGTGCCTCAACCAACTACGCGTGCCCCCAAGACACCGTAGTAACTATAAATAAATTACTTTTCTTTGTAAGAGCGAAAGGTGAAGTTGTGCCGTTTTGGCTAAGAACTAAACCCCGCAGCCGTAGGAGGAGTTGCAGGGAAAGCTCCACAGATACTTATTTCGGCACTGGATACCTGCTTTGGCTGCTGTACCCGTTCGAGAAAGAGTCCCGGTTGCCAGTTGGTGAGGAGGCTGGGTGATTCCCCCACTCGAACTGGACTTGGTAGCGAGAAGAATGTCTGCTCCTGTCGAACCCCGGTATTGCAGCCCTTATGGTCACTCTACTGACTGTCATATCCGGTCTTCATGCACCTATTTCTCTCGACTTCATTACATGTTCACCATATGAAATATTTCAAATAGAAATTCAGGACGTGTAGGTGTACAAATTATTCGTACGATATGTGTTTCTGAGAACCTATACTTAGCCGTTGGCTTCGTATGGAGTACGAACCATAACTAAATATTTGCGTACCATCTATGTAAGATTTGAGGTTTCCACGGCGGTGACTATGAAGACAGCGGTCTCCTGGGATGTGACGCCGTGCAGATATTGTGTTAACCGACGTTTCAGTGTAGGTATCGTGTTAACCTGCTCTGCTGGTTCTTAGTTTGCTGATTTTCTTCTTTTTTCTTCTACCCTGAAGATGGAGGCGATACGTTCCTCCGAAACGTCGGTTAACACAATATCTACACGGCACCACATCCCAGAAGATTGCTTTCTTCAATTAGCATCTGTTCAGTATTTTCGGATTAGCAAGATGTGGAGAAACGGTTGAAGGGTTTGTCAGTAACTCATTTCGTGGAATGATAGCGTGAAAGTTGTTCACAAACTTACGTAGTGGGCTCGTCCAAGAAGAAAATTAGAGGGTTGGTGATCAGTTCGAGAGCAATGGAGAGACGCTTCCTCTGACCTCCGGACAGTCTCCCCGTGCGAGTGTTTCCGTGTTCCGACAGTCGGAGTGTAGACAGAATCTCTTCGATCTGTAATGTTAAGCAACTATGAGACAGGTTTCCTTACATCGCTTCCTGCGAATCGAGCAATCAAAGGAAAAATTAGATTTTACATTATAATCAAATTTGGATCGTTTAAATTCGACCTTGTGAGCGATTCTTAACCTCTTGTTGCAGACTCTTATTTTAAGAGTATTGCCGTTATTGTCGCCTTCTCCAGTGTGTCTCCTGAAAACATCCTCGTTAAGATCGCTGATTCTTTTGTCCTAAAATATTCGACTACTTAAGTCTAAGTATTTCTGTTTTTCTTTCATCTTCTTGGGTATTTTTCGTTTTCATAGTTTATTCCTCGGTCTTATGCTTATAATTCTCGATTTTTTCATTTCCATTACATCATATTCCTTCTTTCCTTTGTTTTTTATAAATTTTCTTTCAAGCACTGTTTCGGACTATTACCACTACTAGAGAACACTACTCCTACTATTACAAAGATAAGAAACTCCGTGGTTTCAGTCCGCAAGCGAACTACATATACTACTACTAAACTACTACTACTACTACTACTACTACTTCTGCTACCACTGCTAACCTGCTGTTATTACCACTAAAACAAACCGACACTAATGTGATTATTTATAATAATAATACACCAAAATCTGAGCACGCGGTAGCGTAGTTGGTTGAGGCACTATGATACAAGCCGGAAGGTTGACGCTTTAAGTCNGAGTCCCGATGAGTGGATTTTTTCAATTGACCTAATCCTCCCAGCCGCACTATGGCCCTGGGTTCGACTCAGACTCTAACAGAAATAAGTACCAGGAATATTCTTGGGGGTAAAGGGCGGCCGACGCGTAAGGCTGACAACCTTACCGCCATCTGTGAGCCGATTGTCTAGATAATGTGGGACCCTCAACGTCTCGCAACCCTATGGGCCTTCACGGCCTCTTACAAGGATAGATTTACTTTACTTACTTTCATACATTAAAATCACAATTTTCTTTTTTGAATTACCAGAAACTGGGGAGAAGACAAAAATGTAACCATATCTACCTCATGCCACTTTTACACAGTTAATTTCTCTTTAATGCTCTCCACCTGCTTGTGGTTAGGTCTTTGTAAGATACCCAACAGGGCAAGTGTCTCGCACTCCTCCCCTGAGGATGGAAATAGATCCGGTTTCCGAAACTTTATGTTTTTAGCGTACCAGATTATGAACAAAGGCCAGGAACCCAGTAATCCTGAAAATTTATCTTGATCATCATATCAAAATACGATTTTAATCAAGAATACTCTTATCAGACGCTCAGAGCTGCAGGTGGCATAGAGATGGCTTTTATCTTTAAACAGTTTATTATTTTACCTTCGGATCCGAACCGTTATCATTTGGCTATTTTACGTCGTAATAATAAAGAAGTAAGAACATGCTACCCTATACATGGAAGTAGTACGTTCCTCCGAAACGTCGAAAGAATCTACAGAATACGCCGTTTCATACCCCCATAAGACAATACTCTTCATAATCAGAGCCGTGAGACCCTCAAACCTCACGCGTGTAATTGTATGTTCTTTCCTCAGAATAAGCGGCCACTCTTTACACTCTTAGATTTGTTGTCTATGCTCTGATCTCGAGTGCTAATGCTCTTTGGACGGATTGTCTTTGGATTTGAGATTTCAGAGCAGTAGACAAGAAGAGCAAATCTACCGGGTCACAATGCCATGAAGTTCTACCGAATTTTCCGATGAATACACGTATATGATGTAAGTTTTGAGGTTTTCACGGCGATGACTATGAAGAAAGTCGTCTTCTGGGTTTAGGCTCCGTGTATTCTTCGTTTTGGCCTACGTTTCGGAGGAACGTATCGCCTCCATCTTCAGAGCAGTTGAATGACTGCAGAGAGCAGTAGCTCTCTGCATTCCAAGCCATTCAACTGCTCTGAAGATGGAGGCGATACGTTCCTCCGAAACGTTGGCCAAAACGAAGAATACACGGCGCCTAAACGAAGAAGACGACTTTCTACACGTAAATGACGTCCAACTTCAGGGCCGGTACCATCTACTTACTGCTGGTTTCTTGCTTCGCTTACTATTTGATCCTGGAGATAAATGCAAAACTTGGCCTTAAATGTCGGGAAAGGGGGTATTTCTACCAAATTACACGCTGTTACTATACTCTTCAATTGTTTCCAGGGCATATCATTCCTCTAATTTCAGTATTGGTTCTATATAAGATTTACATCAATATTTGTAACATCAGAATCTTATTGCAAAGTTATATTATTAAGTAATTGCTAATTTTAGTCCGTGTCATGTTATGCTGGGTGTCCCAGGAGGAAAAGTCAGTATTCTGGTAGGTCATAGTATAGGTCATTCTAAGCAAAAAAAAAAGTATGTATTCTATTCCAAACGGTTTCCTAGGTAGAATTATTTCTTGATAAGATAAGAATTATTTCGTACTTTTTCTAATAGCAGTATTTATTGTTCAATTGTCGAAGTTCATACAGTTTATTTAGTATAATAATACATTTTCGAAAATTCCACCGTCAGCATCAATGCATTTTGCAACTTGAGTGAGGACACGGTGTATTGCTCGTCTGTACAGTGAAATAGCTCTGTCTCGGAAATTTTTCGGAATAAAACAAACATAGTGTGACATGGATGGCGCAACGGGAAGTAGGGGTCACGTGAACTCTGCGATGTGCGAGTGACGTCTTCAGTGGCAAAACACGTTAAAATATGTATATATATTTTTGCTTATAATGACCGTTCCTATGACCTCCCAGAATAGTGACATTTCTTTGTGGGACACCTGTATATTTACTTTTATCTATATTCACTTCTAGCCCAATATCGTTACTTGTTATAATCGTCGTCGTTTACCACTCCTAGCCCCGCGTGGGGCGCCACTTATTTATATAATCGCCTTTTAACACTCTTGGCCCAACGTTGCTGGTCGCCACTCCATCTATATAACCGCTGTTCGCTGCCCACCCTTGGGAGAGACTTCTTTCTAACCGTTCCCTCTCACCTCTTGATATGTCGAGTTTTAAGGTTGCTGCTGCGTCCTTCTTATCCACCTCTTTTTCCCCTTGTCTTTATTGTGATTGTGGGTCGTTTACGGGTTATGGGTTACAGTGAAGGATGGGCGCCAGTAAGCTTATTATAAAGGCTCACCATTTGGGAAGGAAAAGGGGGAATGAACCGACTTGTTTAGCATTAAGGCAATGAGATTCAGTCTCAGGTGTATGCAGGTCTCGCGTTAGCGGGAAGGCAGAGTGGCTAATGCTATGCAGTACACCACACTGGCTGAGGAGCGCTTTTAATAGTTCAGCCAATAACACTGATTCTCATGCTAGTTAGATTCTGACTTGAGAAATCTACTTAATATGACTGGCGATTGTTCTAGTAACACACTTAAAAATAATTTTACTTTTAACCTTAAACACTGAAACCAAATTTGGAATTACACTAATTTTTCGGCCTGATCCATGGCGAATTATTAAGCGACTTCTCCAGTATCACACTTCGAAATGAGTTTACTTTCAACTTAAACTTTTGAATCAAACTTGAAGTGACATTAATTTTTACGTCTGTCTTTTGAGAGTTATTCAGTGATTCCTTTGCTTTGAAGTAAGGAGACTTCACAGCTTCAGCTCAACCTCCAAGTTACTACCATACTTTTGGCTGATTGGAACAATTTGAATTTTGGGAGTTTACTTTAATTCTCACTGCTCCAATCACCTTGTTGTTTCAATGGACTCTCACCCTTGACCTAAAGCACTTTTTGGCAGTTACTTGAAAAATTATACCAGTAGCGTAGGTTGAGGGCCTTCCCACTTTTGACTTACGGGGTTCAAAACCTGTCAAGTGTAACTTTACCAAAGGATCCCGCCGGTCAAATTTCGAACTGAATTTCCAGGAAACCTCTGCGGGGTGATTCCTGCCTTGTCTTTGTAGCAGTGAAGCATGCCATATTCTTGAAACCTAGAATCGGGCTAAGTCACCATTGAATATTCCTTACTACATCCTAAGCGTAATTTTTTTTCCTTGGCACTACAACCCCAGTGGGCCTAGGCCTACCTCCATGAACTTCTCCGTTCACTTCGGTTTTTCTAGATCTTACACAATCGGTAGGAACCCTTGGGCGGGTGATCAGCTCGTCGCAAGGCCTCTACCTGTACACAAACACAGAAAAACGCACACACAAACTAAACATCCATGCCCTGAGTGGGATTCGAACCCACGATCCTGGCTTCCGAGCGAGCGAAGACAGTACATGCCTTAGACCGCTCGGCTACCGTGACCGGCTCTAAGAGTAATTACTACCATAAAAAATCTTAATTACAAATAAAGCTGGCGATGTCAGTGGTACGGCTTCATTGTTTGTAGGAGAATTATAATTTATGCTTTCAATATCAGCAACAGTTACAAGAAAGAAAAATACCTATGAATTCATAAAAGTAAAGGATAGTTGTGATTTTCCAGTGGGGTGGGACGAGGGAGAGACATTGTTCTATCCAAACTGTCTCAAGGCATGACAGCTTATGAATCTGATTAATGTGTGACGAAATGCCCCGAAAGAGCTATGCTGATCTCTAGGTTAAGTGCAAGTCTTTGACGCCGAAGCTCAGAAAATTTCTCCATTCTAGATTTAATCAGCATTCATTCAGACACCTGCAACATACTGTGCATGTGGACCACGAGGCAGCCCTTAATATAGTATTTATGTTGCAGTTCAGTATCTAAATATGACAGCTGACTGCTGCTGATATCGGTCCCAATGCATTAGTAATAAAATTATCTAGCATAAGAAGAGATAATTGCCTGCACAAAGGTCACTTCCTGCTTGACTTGTGGTCGTAAAACTTTCAAGGCTTATTCAAGAGCGCTCTAGTTTTTCGCAGTGTTGATTAAGAGGCCTAGAATAACAATAATTGTAATTATTCAGTGTTTTGTTACAATATTATTCGAAAGTTAATCACAAATTCAACCATGCAGTTTGAATAGTTTTTCAGTTATGTAATATTGTATTT